AAACGGTGTTTCTATTCATTGCAATTTAAAACAACAACAACAACAACAAAAAAAAAAAAAAAAAAAAAAAAAAAAAAAAAACTGTCTTTGTTTTCTCCTAAGAGTTGACCTCACCCTAGGCAATCTACACTTTCAGAGGACACTTTTCCTGTTTTCCCTTTCCCAACAAAATCTATAACCTGTAAATTTCACTATGACGACTACGCTGTTCCCTGCTGCTCATACTTGGCATCCATTATTTATCTTTTCCATATTTAATATAATAATTTCCCAGTTAAGGAATCTAATTTGTAACCCAAGTTTTTAAAAAATAAACACAACCTATTTTCAACATGAAACTTTCTTTGTTGGAACTCTGAATGTATCTTTAGATATTAGGAGGCAGATGATTTCTTGGTCAGAGATACTGCTGAGGTTAAATTAAGTGCATTGAAAATGCTCGCCAACACTTCCAAGTAAGCTTAAATTTAAAACAAAGCCAATCCTGCAAACAGCATTTCTATGTATTTGATTTCTAGTGGGGTAATAGGTATAAATTTTACCTGAATGGGTTGGGAAGAAAGGGAAGTAGCAAAAAAAAAAAAAAAAAAAAAAAAAAAAAAAAAAAAAAAAAAAAAAAGAGCAAGAGTGATGTTAACAGCTAGGGAAGCAACTGTGGAAGAGGCAGGAAGCTCACATTTCAGTGAAAGTAATGGCCTAGGGCACAGCAATCGGCTGGCAGCCCATTATAGTTAGGAAAGATGAAAAACACTTAATACCTGGAACAGAGGCTGAGTGGTTTGGTAGACAATTATTTTGTTTGTTTGTTTGTTTCCCCTCAAATAGTTAGGGGACATTAAGTGAGTAAAAATTGGGCTGAAAAAAAAATACAGTGCGATGCAATAAAATGGGTGGAAACTGTGCCCTCCTACTGCAGATAGCCAGGGCAGGGGTGATACAAAGTGAAAAGGAGAAAAGAAAGGATCCTCCCCACTTCATTTTTTCCACATAAAAACAAGAAAATGGGTATGATGGTAATTAAGATATAGATGTAAGGAAAGGGGCACTGTTATTCTTTAAAACAGAACTCACACACCATTTATTAAACTGGCTAGCCACGTGTGGAAAAGAAAAACCAGACCCCTTCCTGACATCTTACACTAAAATTAATTCCAGATGGATTAAAGACTTAAACATAAAACCTAACAACATAAAAACCCTAGAAGAAAACCTGGACAAAACCATTCAGGACATAGACGTAGGCAAAGACTTCAAGACGAAAACACCAAAGCACCGGCAACAAAAGCCAAAATAGACAAATGGGATCTAATTAAACTCCAGAGCTTCTGTACAGCAAGAGAAACAATCATTAGAGTGAACCAGCAACCAACAGAGATGGGAAAAAATTTTTGCTATCTACCCATTTGACAAAGGGCTAAAATCGAAACTCTACAAAGAACTAAAACAGATTTACAAGGAAAAACAAACAAACAAACCCACTCAAAAGTAGGCTAAGGATATGAACACTTTTCAGAGATATGAGGCCAACAAACATGAAAAAATGTTCATTATCACTGGTCATTAGAGAAATCCAAATCAAAACCGCATTGAGATACCATCTTATGCCAGTTAGAATGGTGATCATTAAAAAATCTGGAGACCACAGATGCTGGAGAGGATGTCGAGAAATAGGAACACTTTTATACTGTTGGTGGGAGTGTAAATTAGTTCAACCATTGTGGAAGACAGTGTGGCGATTCCTCAAGGATCTAGAAATAGAAATTCCATTTGACCCAGCAATCCCATTACTGGGTATATATCCAAAGGATTATAAATCATTCCATTATAAAGACACATGTACATGTATGTTCACTGTGGCACTGTTTACAATAGCAAAGACCTGGAACCAACCCAAATGCCCATCAACGATAGATTAGACAAGGAAAATGTGGCACATATACACCATGGAATGTTATGCGGCCATAAAAAAAGATGAGTTCAGGTCCTTTCTAGGGACATGGATAAATCTGGAAACCTTCATTTTCAGCAAACTGACACAAGAACAGAAAATCAAACACTGCATGTCCTCACTCATAGGTGGGTGTTAAACAATGACAACACATGGACACAGGGAGGGGAGCATCACACACTGAGGTCTGTTGGAGGGGAATAGTGGAGGGACAGTAGGGGGTGGGGAGATTGGGGAGGGATAACATGGGAGAAATGCCAGATATAGGTGACAGGGTTGTGCTTTCAGACTAACATCCAAGGACTCCTTCCTTAAGTCTATACATTTAGAGTTAGCAGTTTATCAACTCTTTCAACAAGCAAATGATGGAAATCTAATGATATGGATTGTACCATCGGATTCTAGCACAGTCCAGAAGTCTGTGCCCCAGTGATCCCTGAGTAAGGGTTCTAGAAGCATTCCTGGCCCCATTCAACGGACTCTTTTACTTTGGTCTTGGATTATCGTATGTAAAAACAAACTCAGTAAATTACCTAAAATAATAAACTTGAAAGCCATATTGTAGCCTCATTAGCTCCATTGTCTTAATGACCAAATTTTATTAACTGCAGAGTCACTTAATTGATCTTCCTGGTCATCTGCCATTAATATTGACTCCAAATCTGAACGTCTAAAAAAATTGACAGACATAATTTCTCTAACATTTGAAGTTTCTCTTTAAGGACTGAATTTTTTACCCACTAATTTTATCTCTGCCATAGTTTAATCATATGTAAATAATTTTTAAAAGCTGCATTGTTAAGCACTGCCAAAACAGACATTCCTATAATTAACTGGAATAAATATAAACACTATTAGAACATAAAATAATGCCAGCTTTCATCTGAGGAATCACACAGATAACATGTGACATGTAACAAAATAGATGATCCATAACTAAGTTAATTTATAATTAATATGTAGTCAAATATAAAATACAATAATGTCCAGAGTAACTGAATGTCATAAATAATTTAATTGGATTTATTCAGTAACAGAATTGAATTGTAGATTCTCATTTTTCTGTTTTAGAGAATAGAAAACTAAACCTTAATAATATCAGGCAACTTGCACCTAAGTTCTACAACTGGCAGAAAGTGGTAGAGCAAGAATATAAAACTGATGTCAATTTGACACATACTATACTTATCCATTATGTGATCAAGTTAAGGTATCAAATGTATTAAAGTCATCACTTACATTTTCCAAATTACCCAAGTAGCTAGATTTGTGTTAGGATGACTAAGAGTGTGACCATCTAACTAGCCTAGGTTGAATACACATCTGTGAGAAGCACTGAATAATCAGGTTCTTTCTTTTCTTTCTATGATTATCTGCTCAGCTATTTTTCCACATCTTCTTCTACAATTTTTAGTTTTTTCTGTCCTATAAACATTTCCGGGCATAGACATCACCTCCCAAACTGAAAAATGAAAAATGTATCTATTTTATTTACCCAAGTAATAAAAACTGTACTTAGTCAAAGTTTTTATTATATTTCTGCTTATTCAGACCACCAAACTATTAATGGAAATAATCACTTCATCATCTCAAATATAAAATCTATAGTATTCAAGTTCTCTGTCACTTTTTTCCAAGAATATATGAACACTGTTCTTGTAAGGTCTTACATTTGTCTATCTTGTCTACAAATTTTCCCTCCATCTCAAATTATTTTACAGCCCTTTTTTTCCCTGTATTTTAGACAATTAAAAGATTTCTTTTAAAAATTAAATCCATTTCTATCCTGGACATTTTTCTCTGAAAGGCGATACTGAACTCCTGGTATACAGCATGCAAAAGATAAAAACTAACTTTTCTGTCATATAAAAATAAGTGACCTTCTTTGATTAGTTGAAAGGGAAGTACATAATATTTCTTGTTACCTAATCAAGAAACCACATGATTTCTCTTATGAACAAAAGACCTTTGCCCAATAACTTTGTATGCCTATGGAATTTAAGTAACATAGGGACAAACCTCTTCATAATTTTAAATTGACTTGTAGGCATTATATGGAATAAGCATTCTGAATTATGATGTGAAGTTTATGAAATTCAGAAGAAGGGCATTTAAATTTTAAAACTATTGATTTTTAAAATGTCAACTTCACCCAAGCAGCTCCATTTAATACCAAATTAAATGGCATTTAGTTTAAAAATATTTTTGTTGCTTTTAGAAAATTTTACATTGTCACAAAATACGATTGTACTTAATAACTATTACTTTCTTTTATACATTGAAAGTAATATTGTAGATTTGTCCATTGTAATCTTGAATATTGTAGATCTGTCCATTGAAGAATGTTTGATGACTTTGTTAAATGTCCATTAAAAATGAATGAAATTAAGAGCTAGTTTCCTAATCAAATCCTAATAATTAGTTACTCCTCTTGATTTCTTTAAAAGAAAACAAGTAACAAGGGAGACAGAATTTTAACATACACACACACACACACACACACACACACACACACAAACACAGGGGGTGCTATCAAAACAAGATTGCTAAGATATGTGGATTGGAATTGCTCATAATTTAGAAACATTAGCCTCAATAGTTTCATGCTGCAGTTTTACCACTTCAAGTAACAGGGAAGGATACCTAAGTATTAACGTTAGTATGAACACCATTTTCATAATATCCTAAAAGCAGCAGCTGAACCAACTGGCTGTAAGAACTTACTACTCTTCATTTATTATGAATAGTCTTGCTCTACTTTGGTAATGACGTCTTTATCAGTGTGTTATGACGACAGTAAACTAGGCCTCTGTAGAATCCTCATCTGTTTTTAGAAGTGAAGTATCATTCCCGAAGACATGGTTTCACTGTACTGAATATAATACCTCAACTACAACTTCGCAGTGGCTATGGCCAAAGATTTTCATAAACCCTTTCACAGAAATGATGTCATGTGTTTACCATCCCCATAGGAAAAAAAAATAGCAGTTTTTCATCCAACCACAGACATGCACAATAATCAATTACAACTTTGAAAGGTCACATACCCTACCTTTCCTACATAGAGGGGGTCTGAACCCATGTACTCCTCCAGAACAAAGAACTGATTCCACACCCAGCTGCGCTTGGTCCGGGACCTCCCTGTTTGGAAATAGGGCTTTGATCTGGACCTTGAGAGTTCTGCTTGACTCATCCCAGAAAAACACAGGAAAAGAGCTATTAGCTGCAGAAAATGGCAGAACTCCACTTTGCCCAACTTCATCTTTTTTTTTTCTTTCTTTTTCCTGTGTAAGAAAAAAACCTTGACAAGAGAAAAGGCACAGTTCCAGTTGGCTTAGTAGCTCTTGCCTCCGGCAGGGTGTCAGCTGGAAGTCCAGAGATAATAATTTGTAGAGTATAGGATTGGAAGAGGTCACCACTGCTGAATAGCCTTCGCCAAAGAATGGTGTAATAGGTACCTATCAGAACAGAGAAGAGATGGTATCAGGAACCAAAACATATAGTAACATTTAACATTCATTTGCTAACTTACTATTGATCTTAGAAATATATAAATTTCCTAAAATTATACAAATATCATTATTTGTATAATTATTAAAATATTAACTATACACTTACAAAATCATAATAAACACTAGTATATTTGTGAATTACCTAAATACAGCTGATGCAGAATTATCTTCATTTCATAACACAACTATAAAATATCACTTTTCTTCTAGGGCATTTTATTTGAGCATATGGTTTATTTTATACAAATGTGGCAGCGTCATTTTAAAAATCATTTTAATATAGCCCTATTTTTTTCTTTTATATTACAGTGATTTTCATTCGTTGGTATTAGAATGTGAAAGCAAAGCAACTCAAAGCAGAAATTTAACCAAATGGGAAGGACATATGCTGGTTTAAATCTCTTCTGTGAAACTGTAAAGAGAAATAAAGTATGAGGTGATTCAAAACGGGTTGATTGATTCTGAGTCACAGAACACCAGCTGTTTGATGTGTTCTGATTTGATTGTGATCAGCTGAAAAGCTCAGTACTTTCCATTTTCCCCCCTTTGAACTTATTGTCATGTATGCTGTGTAGCACGGTAGATTATGCTACTGCAATGAGGTTATTTGCTATTTTACAATTATTTATTGAGCATCTTGCAGCATGAGTTGTGCATAGTAGGGCCTCCCTCCACAAACATTTACAGAATTGAATTATTTTGATCAACAGAAGAGTGAGAAAACTCAGCTGTATTTGTGAGGCCCATTCATTGTTGGCATGCACCCAGGAGGTGCTTTAGCAGCAGCATGGAAAAACACTTTTATTCTAATGTCTACTTATTTCAGTTACAGAATTCTGATTATGCAAGAGATATAAAATCAGTTACAAAACCAACTTTCGAACACACCCCTAAAACATAGAGGAATGAGAATTTATGACAAAGTGCTCACTTAAATCACCACGTTGCACTTTGGTTTATGAATTCATTTTACTTCCTATAAATAAATCAACAATAGAATGATTAAGGCAAAGAAGTATCATTTGCCTACTTCTGTTTTTTTTTTTTTTTTTTTCCCTGAGGATGAGGATAAAAATATAGTTTTGAGAACTTAAAGCCAAAAGATGCTTCCCTATTAAAGCAGAAAATGCACTATCCTGAGCTTTTCAGTCCCTTCTGTTAGAAGAGTATCTGTTATACAATAAAAAAATTTAACATCAAATTTCTTAAGAAAATACTAGTTAGTAGGAGAAATGTGAAAGAGATATATAAATATATACAAATTTATCAAATATTTTAAATAGTTCACACAATTAGAATAAATGGGTTGCAATGACTTTGTGCAATGAACTGCTAAAATGAATGCATACATTTAAAATATATATCCATAAAGTTGTGATATTCCAGAGGGCATTTAAGAAAGATCCAATGTTCATCTAATTACTGTATGCTAAGAACCACCAGAATGGTAACTCTTACTAGAGCACATTAAGTGCAGCCTGTGCATAGAACACAATCTCCCCAAATCCAGATACCTTATCCTAGGATGAAAAATAATTGTATCCCATTTAGAAACCACACTAGAGGGCCAGTTGTTCTAGACTTTGAATTATAAAGTACAAGCAACTTGGGATCATGCCTTGATGTTGCAATGTAGGTGGTTAATTAAGTTGAAAATTTACTGTAGGTAGGTCTGACTAACCCACCTGAAAGGCACGCTTCTTATCATTTGAAAAGGCAGGTAGGTGCTTAAACTTTGAACAGCATGTGGTGCGCCAGTGTAGGGATGAGTCCAGTGATGAGATGAGAATTGTGAGGAGTGGTCTTAAGTAAGAACGACTGACTGTATGGGAAGCGGCGAAGTCATGGAGCTTCTTCCTTAATCTAGTGGCAAACCAGTCTCCTGGGGACAGGGAAGGATGGTTTAGAGTTTGAGGTCAGATGGCTGAGACAAGAATGTGAAGCCTGTGGCCACAGGACAGTTCCTGTTTCACTACTCTCCCTTCTCAAGAGAATGAAATATCTCTTAAAGATGATGACATAAACACTTTGACTCCTGAGAATACATATTTTTAGATGCAATAGAGTAAAATTATGTTATGTAGGCTCCTTTATGAATTGAGTGGATGTGGTAACATTGTTTCAGGGTGACAATACATCCAACTCATAAAAAACTAAACAGCAAGTGAACTTTTGGAATTTAACATTTGAGGAGTCAGTTACCAGTGAAGACTGTGGGTGTCTGTATCAGATAAAGATTCAAATTCTGGGCCTGTCTTAACTACATAATCTTGGATAAGTTACATTCTAAAAAGTTCCAGAGATAAAGTCTTAAGTCTCTCATCTAAAAAACAAAGACCACAATAACAGCATCTCCTTCACAGGATTAAATGAGTAAATCACGAGATACCAATAATAGTGCCTTGCAATCAAAAAGGAATTTTTAAAAAGCTGTTGGGATCGTTATCATGTTTTAGATTGAAACTGGCTACATTAAAGTTAGGTTACGGGTTGATGTTAGTTTTCACTGTAATGTTATCTATGTTAAAATATTTTAGACAACTCTTACACCAAATGAAAGCATTTTGATAGTTATAGTTGGTTCCAGAGAACCATATGGTCATAAATCAAAATCAAAAAATCAAGATGAGTGCAAAGGAAGCATAGTAATATATACATATATATATATTTATATATCATATTTTATATATATAAGATATATATATATATATTTCTTTTTTTAAAGGCATGCCTTCTGTAAATTTTTAGAAATCAAACACAAATATCAGAACCGTGGAAATTTGAGTTCACTAGGTGTTCACTGATGAGAAAGAAAACACGCAGTCTAGACTGAAGATAAGATCACTGAACTCTTTGTCCTACAAGCCCCACCACTTGCTGTATGATCTTGGATCGCTCTAGGATTTTATTTTCCACATTTGCAAAATGAAGGAGCTGAGCTAAACTATAAAATTTTTTGGTTTTTTTTTTTTTCAGGTCTTACTTTTCTTTTTGACAATTATATAAACTTGTTTTTGTTAGCTCTTTTAAAGATGTGATAACCTACATATTGTTAATAATTAAAGATTATAGGGGCAAGGTACAGTGACTCATGCTTGTAATCCCAGAACTTTGGGAGGCCAAGGCAGGCAGATCACATGGTCAGGAGATTAAGACCATCCTGGCTAACTCAGTGAAACTCTGTCTCTACTAAAAATAAAAAAATTAAAAAAAAAAGAGTCAGGTGTGGTGATGACACAGGCCTGCAGTCCCAACTACTCCAAAGGCTGAGGCAGGAGAATCGCATGAACCCAGGAAGCAGAGGTTGCAGTGAGCTGAGATCATGCTACTATCATGCTACTGCCCTCCAGCCTGGGTGACAGAGTGAGACTCTGTCTCAAAAAAAAAAAAAAAAAAAAAAAAAAAAAAAAAAAAAAAAAAGATAATGGGTAGAGAAATTTAAGAAAGTTATAGGAATGTAAAAGAAACATTTGGTCTGCTTATAAAATGAGCATTCACTTTAACGAGAGCTGTTTAATGTACTCTTGTTGCTCTTGAAGATTATTTCTCTTCCATTCAACAAGAGTAGGGATTTATCAAATTAGCTAGAACTTATAAAAGAAGGGAGTTACAGAACATGCCATGGGTGATATTACAGTCATTGAGATGATATCTGTGAGGGGAAGATACTTGATAATTGTGTAACTCATTTAAACCTAGAATTTTTAAAAGCAGCTAGTATAAACATAAACCTTGATGAAGAGGAAGATCCACCCTATAGTTGTACCTATAGTATCCAGGACCAAAGTAGGCACATTATTAACATTCGGAAATTATTTACACAATGCTCATTTTCATCATGATCAACCTCATTTTTAATATGAAAATTTAACTGTATAACAAATCAAGATACAAATTCCTTGGTAAGTCAACCATGTTTATAAATCACAATCACTTTCAAAACAATTCCATGATATTTCTCTGCAGTCTTTGAAACATTTGCCAGCCTCTTGAGCCAAATTGTTTTTACCTTGCTCCAAGGTCTACAAAGAATGCACAAGGATATTTAATTGGCATTGTGTATATTATTCGAGGATGAAATTTTCTTTTTTTGAGATAAATGTCTCTGTCATACCCTCTGTGGAGTGCACTTGGAAAATCAGAAAGTAGTGTGTGAACCACTGTGATCTGAACTGAAGATGTTTCATAATGTGTTCCCCAGTATATCTGGCAATAAGCAACTCTGCCAGGAACATATGCCCTCTATAGCCACGGACCAGCTGCATGGCCATAGGTCAGGTGCTTATCAGGTACTTATCAGTCTTCTACAAATATCTGTCTTCATTTTCAATCAAAATCCAATCTCATTTTCAAGAGAAAGGCAGGTTCCCTGCTCAACCGACTTCATTCTGTCCTGAGCTGGGTATCATGAAAGAAATAAGGACTCTGAAGCATTATGTACAAAAAACCTATAGTTCTTTGTGGTTATCAAACAGAAGTAACTAAAACTTAAACTTGAGATTTTTTTTATTACATTTAAATGAACTTGAATACAGAATCAGTAACAAATTGTTGACTTTTCACAAAGGATTAAATATTGTCTCACAAATCTGTGCCCTAGAGCAAAAATACTGCATCCCTGTTTAGAATTTCATGCTGCCTATCTTTTCTCTTTCTTCCACCTCCTTTCCCATCCGAGTTTTTCATATATAGGAGTTAGAAAGAGGATTCACATGAGGAAAAAATGAGTAGTCTGCACCCATGCATGTGGTTTGAAGAGCTGACCTCTTCACTATTACTAGGTTTTTTGCAAAGGAGAAAAAAAATATATATAGATATAGATATAGATATAGATAAAATATATAATATAGTTTGATATTATATATATACACACACATACATACAAGTGTATATGTGTGTATGTATGTGCCTGTGTGTGTGTGTTGGTATATAGTTGAAGGAATGTC